GAATATTCTGCTATACCTGCAGCACTCTGGCTCTGAATCAGCACAAAATGTTACAGATTTCAGTTGCAGCTCAGAAGTAGGTCCCCTTGAACTGACAGAAGTTTGCTGATGACAGAAGCTAGCTCTTAGATGATTTGGGCTCTAACTTCCTGGATTCATCTCCTATTGCCCTCCCTTGACTGGAACAGACATAGCAACACTGAAGTTTATTTTGTATGTATTGAATTCACTTATTCAAACTGCAAAACCAGGATCTACATCCAAACCTTCCAAAATCTCAGTTATTTCAACGTAATTTGTTTCAAACATCTTTTGACTAGATACTTCCTAGCTGACAAATAAGCTCATTGTACAATATTTGTACAATGCACAAATATGAATGGATAAAACCTTGATATCACACAGTGAATGCCATAAAGACCTTTCATATATACATATATTTCACCATATGCAACAATTATTTTTTTTAACCAAGTGTGTTTCCAGACCCTTCTAACATTAATTTTCAGTGTAGTATACATAAGCATTTTGCAATTGCAAGAGAAAAATCCTATGTGCCTTAAGTGACATAATAACAAAGATCTTCACTTACATCAAGTGCATTACGTTTAAATATTTACTTTAAATAAAAATACAAACCACCACAACCTTTCCTCACTGAAGCATCCACGCTTAGCATACAAATACCTTTGGAATTCATCATTTAGAAATAAATTTTTTTTCCTTGAAAGTATAAACCTGAGACTGTGATATAAGTGATATTCCTCTTCACTTCCAAGTTTTAGAAACATGAAAATGAAAATTAAAAACAAGTCAACTTGTGCTTGAATTTCACTACTCAGTCCTTTAAGTCCACTGATATTCTGAGCATTTTGACTATCAAGACATTGCTAAAAGCACAAAATAGCTCTTTAAAACAGTGGTGAAGAAAGAGAAAGGAGAAAAAGAACTCAAACCCATCACAGCTTAAATACTTCACGTAAAATTTCAGAGTGAGTTCCAAACTCATGTCTTCCCCACTGCTTCAGTTGTAATTAAAGAATTTGGAAAGTTAATACAAACTGATGACATTGGAGCTCAGATTTGCAAGTCACCATTTGGCAAATGTTAATTCTTTCCCTATAAATACTTAGGAGAAATGAGTATATTTACAAAGAAAAAATATAGCACTCTCATCCTATCTAAGAGGGACTAGGAGAAAGAACTTAGACCAATGGCAGAGACACAGCACAGTATTCAAACAAATAGAAAGCGAAAACAAAATGCCCTCTTAAAGATAAATCTAAGCATAAAAAGAGGGACAAACAGTGCAAGCTCACACACCAGGCACGTTTGTAACTTCATCTCTCTGATACAAATCTATCAAGTTTTTTTCCATATAAAATTTGGGAGAGAGTGCAATAGCAAAGTGTGCTAATCTAATGTTACTGTTTTAGTTGTTCTACAATATTTTTTAATCTAAATATCTGTATCTTACAGAGTAGAGAGAGAGATAGTGATAAAGTATAAAAATACTACTTAATGCAGCCTGGGTCTTTGCACAACGCCACTAGCCTGCTTGGGAGAAAGCAATGGCAGCACAAGTCAGCAAAAGAGGGCTCTTTTAACTCCTGTTCCTTCAGCCCTTCTCATCAAAAGCTATTTAATGTAATTATCAGCAGTGGGAAACCAAACACAAACTCCTTATGAACACAGGCAAGAAATACAATACAAAAGAAAAAAGCAAAACAATAAAAATTCATAGTGTAAACAAGCCCAAAAGAAATAAGTCACAGCAGGTTACCCTGACTACCATGTTTGTAATATATTTATCAAACCAAATTAACACTAAGCCAAGTAAAAGAAAATATTTGTCTCGGGGTAAACCAATACAGAAGTCTCAATAAACAGCAAAGGGAGCTAAAAGCAAACAGGAAAAAAAAACATCGAAAGAATATACACAAGGACTGTATAGACTTGTAACAAATTTATAATTGTAGCACACAAACATGAAGGTTTAGATTTGCAGTCAGCAAACCCATAGAACTTGAAATATTCAAAAGAGAACAAAAAATCTAGCAGGGAAAAAGAAAAAACCAACAAAAAACCGAACAACCCAACTCCTGTAGGATAAAAAGAAGGATCGAGCCTTAGAAAGTTGGTTTAGGGGATTCATTTTGCTACAGAAGCCAGGTAAACCTCAAGAAAACCAAAGGTCCTCATTGGCACAGTTGTTTGTCACAGTCACCTTCACCTTTATGAGCTGGGCTCCTCACTTGAAGAAAATCTCCCCTGGCACAGCTGGGCAAGGATTTCAGTGCCAGCTATTCTCCCCAGCCACTGTGGACCGTGCCAGCACACCGGGAGACACAGAGTCTCCTGGCAGTCCAGCTGCCAGCCAGTGAACAGACACGCAGGGCATGGCAGAAGGACAAGAGGTACTGAGCACAGACTGAAATACAGGAAACTCTGTTTAAACACCGAGATAAAAACCTTTTTAACTGTGAGGGAGTGGGTGGTTGGATGCTGGAACAGATTGACCAGCAATGTCCATTCTTGGAGATGCTCAAAATCCCCTGGGATATGGCCCTGAGCAGCCTGCTCCAGCTGAGTCTGCTGTGAGCAGAGGACTGGAGCAGATGGTCACCAGAGGTGCCTGCCAACCTCAGCCCTTACTGTGGTTCTGCAAGCTTAGAGATGGTGAGAACACAAGACTTGCCAAAATGTAAGCCAGATTTTTGTTTCCCCACACACAAGAGAATGTGAGTGTCTTACAGGAAAAACTGGTTGAAAATGGTTTCAACTATTTCAAATATTTGTTTTCCAACATACTGTAGAGCTAAATGAAACAAAGGAAACGAGGAGCTGACCCACTGGCTGCACTAGTGAGCTGGAGAAGAATGGAGTAAGCAATAAAACAAGACTGAAGGACTAGGGACAGACAGGGATGCTTGGCTCCACTTCACAGCTTCCATGAAAAGGCAGAGATAGTTATGAAGGCATATGCAATAACTACAGAATTACATAAAACTATATCCATGGTATAGCCAAATGACACTCATCACGTCCTACTCTGAGAAAATAAAGATGGAGAACTCTGCATTGCAGATAAATTCTTATTTTAAAATGGAGGAGTGTGAGGGAGGAAAATAGAAATATGCTAAGCACAGGAAAAGTGAACAGTCTCTGTATAATTGAAAATAAAAATATGTAAAATACTATTTCATTAGTGTTCTCTTTTAAGCTCTAAAAAGAAAAAATATTGTGCTTATCCATGACACAAATACACATGTATATTCACAAAAATACACATGTATCAATGTATTTCAAAAATACGTTGAACAGTAATGTCTAAAATAAGAATACAGAAGATAATTCTTGGTAATATTCAACACTTAAGAGTTCTTTACATCCACAGAAAGTGCTGTATGACCAGCCACTAATTATGGTAGGTGAAAATATGCTGACTTTGACTCCAACATTATCCTGACTTCAGATTCAATCAGAACTACCATGTCTTGCCAATAACAATTAGCTTTGCTGCTAATTCTTACAGCACAATCTCCAGGCCAGCACAGTGTCTAAGCTCTCTGCGTGAGCAAGCAAGGGTGTATTTCAATTCTGCAACTTGTTTGTACAATATTAATCATAACTAAGCAAGCTATAACCAACACTGTCAGATGCACCAGTGCGAACAGTATGACACAGCAAATGAGAGGCTGACCAGCTTTAATACATTAAAGTATCTTTATATTTGAGGATGTGTGATATTTTAAAACCTTTTTATGAACACTAGCATTTGGGAAGAATGGTTTTTCAGTTTTCCTTAAGGGCGGAACACTGACAAAGAATGAGCCTAGGTTTAGAATTGCTGATGCAAACTGCAATAATATATTTCATCCAAAATGCTTCTGCACTCCTAGAAAATAATTATGACTTCCAGAACCACAGAACCATAATAATAACAACACTAATTATTCCAATGAATCCAAAGCGAACTAAAACTATGCTATTAATTTCATCATAAGTCTAAAATATGCCAATTTGGACTGGATCTCCATTGTACACTATATAAGCATATTGTTAATCGCTTATATTTCCCATGAAAGATGCAATCACCTGACTTAAAATTTGGTTACAGTATCATGTTTGAAACTCCAGGTTTAGATGGTTGAACAATTATGTCTTTAATTAATCATTATTTGATGGCACAGTAATAACTTCATTCAGCCAACTACGTAATACATAGCAATCTTCAAGTATGGACTGAAAACTGCAAAGCATGCCCTGAAATTTTATGGTTTATTAAATCCTCAGGAAACCACATGGCTATGCCCTTCAGCCATTTATTGATCCAGACTGACACATCTGTGTGCCTTGCTCCTGCAACATACCACGCTGGTTTAAACAGGCACTATTACAAACAGCAAATGACTACTAAATTTACAGAACAAGGTATTCTACTGTTCAAGGTATTCTAATATTCTATCTATCAGATATTCTTAGAAGTATTGTTCCACACAGCTTTGAAGACAGTTCTGCATGCATCAAATTGGTCTGTGATTACGGAGATACCAAACCATTTTGCATAAAGTAGAAAGCTGCTTAACATTATGATCCTTCCAGTCACTGCCCTCACTTATTAAGCGCACATTCTGAAAAAAACTGTTACGGAGTAAGCTCTATAAGGATCTGGCTTGCCACGCAGTTGGGGCTTCTTGGTTTCGTGCTGCCAAAATGAAGTTAGACACTTCAAATGTACCTGGTGCTTTTTCAATGCCATCCTAGGGTGTCATTGATTCAGCTGGCACAGAATAGGATGAATCTTGGCTTCACTGAAGTCAACAAAAAACTTCACTGAGTCAAGATATCATACAGTTGTGAACAACTGTTTAAATTATGACTGTCTACCTTCACAGTACTAGCTTATTCCATAGCATTCTCTGGAGTTCTTTCCACAACACATTATGGCAGATAGCTCCAAGTTAAATTTCACTTCAAGAATAAAGAAACTACAAAAATGAATATTCAGTCTTTATTTTATTAAAACAAGATTTGTTCTGCTGAAGGAATGAATGAATTCATAACTGCAAAACAAACAAACAAGGAACAAAACCTTTGTTTCTGGGCATGCTCAGAGCTATGCTATTACAAATTTTTCCGAAAAACATTATCAGCAATGCTGTAATTCATAGCAGATAAATCATTAAAGGCAAACATTCTGGGATTTTAGTAACATTAGTGAGACACATTTTACTTTTCCTATCTGTCCCCAAAACACCAACAGCTGAAACACTTCTCTTTCCAGTATGAATTCAGATACTCTGTTCTCAGGCAGAGCTGACCCTAAGAGACAAAGAAAGGAAGACCACTAAAGAAATAAAGAATCATCATGCTGCTCCTGTTTCCCACTATTCAGTGAAGTAAATAAGACTCCTGAGCACAGGAGCACAGGTACCAGCCTGCCCTCTACGCTTCAGATCAGGATACCATCCTCTTCTGTTTACCTGTCACTGATTCACTTCCAAAGAGAATACACTGTCCTGTAATTTAGCTCTTTACAATACTAAAAAATCCAAATACATGACTGAGAAAAAAAATGGAAACAATAAACCGGAAATTAAATGAGCAGAAGATACAAAGAAAGAACATCCAGCAATAGCACTGGACAAGTTTGTAATATCGCTGTATCCTTACAAACTCACAATGTGTCAAATGACCACAGACAGCAGGGACAGAGAAGCAGATAACAGATTACAGCATCAAGCAAAAGTATTGCAAAATACATTACCAATAACAAGAACATGAAAACCACAAAAACACATATTGTCATTTGGGCACAAATTTGGCATGAAACTTAAACACAACTTCAGATTAAGTTATAGTCTCAAACAGAAACACCTCATTTTATCCGAGTCCCAGGGAGGAATGCTTTCATAATACAATTACAACAACACTGGATGCAAACTTGTCAGAAAGAACAAGAAAGCAAAAAATCCTATCAGAAAATTAACTGAAGAACTGCTTGGTGCAAGTGTAAGACGTTTAAAGTATTGGGGGCTTGCTATTCCATGTTTGGTTAGCACCCTAGCACAGTACGACTCTGGCTCACACTCATGGTTCACAATACTAGTGAATAATAACAACCTAGCAAACTTAGACTAAGATTGTTTTAAAAGGCTGAATGAGTACTTTGTGTGGAGAGAGAATTTTTAAAAAATACGAAATGTATTAAAACCAAAAAAACCTATGAACTTGCAGAAGGTCAAAATTGCATATGCACTGAAGAAGAAATTAACATTTTTCTCAGCTATTGTAAAATATCCTGGTTCTAACTGCTGTCAATTAGAATAAAAAAGCATGACTTTATTCCTCTTTAATCCAGTTATCTTTTCTTGCTTCTCTATATTAACACATGCAAACATACTGACAAAACATCTTTGTCCACTAACATTAAAAAAAGAAAAACGAACCAAACAAAAATTAAAACAAAAAAATCTCACCCCAAACTCCCATTAGTTTCAGAAAGTATTTCAGCTCTCAAGTTTGCCCTTTGTGTAGACTTCACAATCATGTTTTGAAGTTTCACGCTGCTAATGAAACAACAAGGTATTCAAATAGGGTAGCAGAATATGTATTATTTATCTAATAGGAAAGTGCTTGTCTATCTCTCAAGACCCCAGAAAACTTCCCTTTTCTCCTTCTTGCACATGATATTGAGCGTCTCTGAAATAATTTATGTTTTGCACATATGTTCATCAATTCTCTTTCCAAAGCAGTTTCTGTATTTACTTCTCCTATCACTGTCTCTCCTTTTTTTCCTAGTAGTCATTGAGCATGCAGAGAAGAGGTTTCTGAACACTCAGAAGTGAGGCACAGAATAACATCCAAACCTACAGTAAACCTTATTTTGACACTGTCAACCACAGAAATTTTTCCAGACTTGTATCCCAAATCTTGTCCTTCTAATAAATTGCTACATTTCATACTTTTTTTCATTTTTCTTTTTTTTTTTTAAGGAAAATATGTAACTACTTACACTTTTATTTAAATATAATACACTTTTATTCTAAAAAACCACCCTGACAAGGGGGTCTATTATTAAAAACAAAACAAAAAAAGGCATTACAGTCTAAAAATATTAGTCATTTTATAGTCCTCAAGATATTTTTATTACTTAAGATTTCAAGGAAAAGTTGTGTACTGGAATAAGACAAACTTAAAATGAATGAGTATGGAGAACAGTATTTTGACTCTACACAAATATGCACTAGTGATCTTAAAAGTACAATGTGCACTAAAACTTATTCACACATAAAACAATTCATGCTCTTCATGTGTAAAATACTGTGAAAAATAAGATGGAAGAAATTGGATAGGAAAACATTAGTGTATCATAAAAATATGTCAGAATGGGACTTTAATCTATAGAGTTAAAGCTTTGCTTTAAAACAAACTTTATTTAAAAATCTTCTTTTGCTTTATCTAAAAATTAGCCTTTCTATAAAAACCATTCCTTTAAAACTTTGCTTTAAAAACATCAGTTTTATATTAGACAAAATATTAAATTATACAGGCACAATTAGTTAAGAGGGCTATAAGAACTTACATTATAACCCTTCATTTTCCAGTGACTTGCAATACAGTCATAAGATTCTGTGTCTACTGACAACCATAGGAAAATTCATCCATAGAAATAAACTTTTATTTAAAAAATAAAATAAATTAAACCAAAACAAATAAATCTGTCAGACCATATTTGACTTGTAAAGGAACTTTACAGCTGACACATGCACATCTTCTATTTAACTTGGGAAATATGCATATACATTAAAAATATCCCAAAAATATTCTTTGAACATGTGGTTTATGATGACAGCTTTTACATTTCCTTCACATACTGTATATTAAAATAAACCATTTCCAAGTCCACCTTTATCTCAGTCCAAATCAGTGATCCTTGACACTTCAGAAAATGAATTAAGAATAGTTTTGTTTTCTGAGGGGAAAATGCACATACACTATGTTCACTGGCAGAAACAGCAGAGTCTGAGCTTTTCCATGTTTTTGCATGTTCTGAAGAACATATTGTACCACTACAGAATATACAAAGACCTCTACAGTAAAACAGATTATATAATATACCAAATGGAAGATTTAAAAACCAAAGTCCGGATTGTGATGATGTTTAATTACGTGCTTAACTTACTACAAATCAGCAATTAATCTTGGGTTTTAGAGCAAAGAGACACCCGCAAGACTGGGGGTTATGTCTCCTAAACACATAAAATAAGCTATCATAACAACTATTAAAAAAAGAAAAAAACTAAACCAAAATACCATGGGGATTTTTTTGCTATAAAACCATACTGGTTGGAGCATCAGTGGCCAAACACGAATCTCTATGGAACATAATTTTAATTCACCTAAATATTTAAAAAAAATATTTGAACTCTAATACATTTCCGTGGATGATACTTTAGGTTTATTTAAATATTTATTTGTTTGCGTTATTACTTTTCCATTCCCCCCACTAAGGAATGTGAAATTCACCTATAAACTTTATCAATAAGCTACTAAAAAACAAACAAAAAAACCCCAAATCTAAGCCTATATTTCTTTTGGAATTTGAAATTTCACTTTAGCCACCACCATTTGAACAGTTCCCTAAAGAGACATATTTCCTTACCAACATGGTCCATTATTGCTTGATGAGAGCCCACAGTGACTTTTTGTTCAAAACAACTGCTTTGGACATGGTTTCAGGAAAAAAGTCAATACAAAAACGTGTAAAATTACATTTCATTTCAAGAAAGCACTGAATTGATCTGAATTGTATCATACTGTATTAATTTTAATGCCATTCCACAGGCAAGTATATATTACGTGTTGAAGAAGGTGCGCATATACACAAACACAAAATACATACACAAAATTCAGCCCAAATTGATGTATCTTCATTTAATTTCTAGCATAACAACCAAGTCATTTTTTGCACTTTAGAATTATGTGAAGAAATTAAATTAGGCACAATTAATTAACACAGTTTCTAAATTACTTATTATAGTGCACTGTCACGCACTGATAATACCATAAAACCAATATGATACTATTCAAGGTCATTTTGCTGATGTACAGGTGAAGTCTAGTAAACAGGATTCTAAGTGCTTTTAACTCAAATCTACAACTTCTGCAGCTTTACACAGTAGAACAGTGCAATACATTATGTCCCCACACTCCAGGAACAAGAGCCGAGTTTACAGTTGTGTTTGTTTCACATTAGACTGGCTTTGCACTTTCTGGAGCTCTAGCACTTCAACTGCGTTGTCCACGACCTCCTTTTTTCCCCTTTCCTTTTTCCAGGTGCTGGCTATGAAAAAAGAAAAAAAAAAGTTCTTTTGGTAGCTAGCTCTCACCTGGCAGAACAAGACAGTTTCGAAGTAACGGCACAGCAGTTGTTCTTCGAGAGGGTCGGTTCACAGTGCTAGGATGACCCCTATCTCCACTTACTCCCCAGTTCCTGACTTTGGAGGAAGCTCGCTCTGGTTTCTTGGGAAAAGATTCTGATGTGACTTTCTGCCTCTTTTCAGGAATCCCTGTTACAACTGTTGAGCTCAGAAAGGCCCTTTTTGGTTTACTCCTCACCTTTAATTTTTTAGCATCAGGCTTTTCTTTCTTAGGGTGCTTTCCCACTGTAGTCTTCCTTGTCTGGCACCTATGGATGGAGAAAGCAGATTTCTGGGCACGAGGATGAAGTTGTCTTCTCAACCCCTCTTTTTGCTGTTTTTTAGTTCGGGAAGTCTGTTTGCCTGCGGTTACTCTGTTTCCTCTCCTCCCAACAGTACGGGTGACAGACTTAGATCCTGAAGCCTTTCTGGAAAAAAATGGTTCTTTATTACTGCCTTCTTTTCTCTTCCATATTGCCTTTGGATTCTCCCTCTCTAACCACTCACTCCTGATGGAGGTCAGAGGAGTTTTGGTAATTCTATTAAACGGAATTAATCTACAATCTCCTTCTACCACAGAGTTCAAAGGTGAAATGATCAAGTGTTTAAAAGAGTTCTCAGAGTGACTAGACACAAGACAATCTGTTCTTTCTGTGGAAACAGAAGATCCATCTGCCTTTTGACTTGAGGCTGCATCATTCCCTTTATCTGGATCTGTCAGGAAAGATGCTGAAGATGAACTATAGTAGTCTGACCAATTGAGTGACTTTGATGGCGTGCTTTCTCTCTGTGCATCCGCTAGTTTTTTCATGTTTGCATCAAAGCTGAGGCTTCTGAAAAGCTGTCGAACGTGGGAGGGCTTTTTGGCCTTTTCTCCAACTGTACTCTTGGGAGGTGTTTTCAGAATTCGATTTGTCAGTGGGTCATAATACTTGAAAGAACATTGTTTGTATTTATACCTTACAGAGTCCTTGCTATCTGCGGAGTTTCGATTTTTCCTCATTTTGGAAGTATCTACAGGTTTACCTTTACACTGTTTTACCTCTGGGCATGAGAGTACATACACCACTGTCTTGGGCTGTACAGGACTCATAATCTTGCTGTAGGACTCTGGAAGTTTAAGGGCACATAGTCTAGTTTTCATGTTTGGAGTTTTTTCATTCTCCAACCACGTGACGCTTGCTTTCTGATCAGCTGGATCAGATTCTCTTCTAGACATTTTCCTTTTTGCTACGGGGTAGTTCAATAGACTTGTTTGGGTGCCGTGGCTGACTTTAACCACCTGGCATCTTGAAGCCAGGCGCCATGTCCTTTTCCTAGGCATTTTAAGTATTTGTGGTTTGCATAGTGTATCTGAGGCTAAAGATGGGTTATCAAAATCAGAGCCACCACTTAAAGCATCATTAAATTCTGGCAATGCTTTAACTGATGCACCTTCTGTTCTGTTACCCTCAATAACATTGATCCTTTTTTCATCCTTCTGCTTTTTTTTCTTCATTCTCTTCCCTGTACAGTTGGCTGACGATTCACTGTCAAAGTAGCAGCGAAAACGACCCTCCTTGAAATCGCGCACAAGTTCTTCAATTTTTATATCATCTTCATACATTATTTGAGACCAAGTCTTTCCCACAAAAGAAGGAGGCACATGAGGCAGAGCTGGAAGAACTGGTTCTTCAGTATGAACTACGACATCCTGTTTCACTGCTTCTGTTTTCTCTATTGACTCAGTTTTTAAGACAGAGCAGAGCTGTGTTCCATAGTCTTTATCTTGCAAACTTACTTGGACCTCTTTTAGGAATTCTATATCTTTTATAGCTGCCTTAGGTAAGTCTGTTCCTGCCTGTATTGGTGCATCACAGTCAAAACTCATTTCAGAGCCCTCTAAATTAGTATGGTCCAGAAGTGATGAAAAAGTTAAACAGGGATTATTCTCTTCTGTGATATAAATTTCTTCAGATGTAGTTTCATGGCAGTATTTCAAAATTACATCTTCAATAGTTTCATCCACTGAACTTCCATCATCTCTGTTTGTCTTCACGTTTTTGCATCTTGCTAATTGTGGGGATGTCCCAAGATCTAAGGAGCTGCTGATACCCACAGTATCCCTGAGATGGAGATCAGACACCAAAGTTTCATCCTGAGTTCGTAAACTATCTCGCTTTGAGAGAGATTGACCTGAGGTAATAAATAAAGAATTGCTGTGGCTGCATGTAGGATTCTGATGAGAAACTGAAGGGCGTTTTGGGTGAGCCAGTGCTGGAGCAGGATTCAAGCATGGGTTCAATAACACATCACTACTGCAGGCCTTCGTTGCCCTTTCATCACACCCACTACGGAGAAACAGATTTGATGCTGCCAAACCCCTAACATTTTTTCCTGTTTTAGAATTAACAGAAGAACTGTGGATTATAGGACTGATGGAAAATTGCTGAGGTACAGGGCTCACAGCTGTAAACTGACCTTCATGGCTATGATTTGCATTTTTCAGAGTAACCCATTTCTTATCGCTACAGATGCCAAGAGACTGCTGGGATATTCCTGGAACATGCTCCTGGCCTCTTTCTCGGTTTTGAAAAACTGCTTGCGTTACAAAAGTTTTCTTTGTGCCCTCATGAGACAGGCATGGAGCAGAAGAGTGTATTTCACCAATTGACTCCTTGTCTTTGCTGGAAATCTCCTGTGTGTCACTGTTTCTCTTTTTCTGCATCTCTGTTGGGGATAGGCAAGAAATCCTAGGAGCCTCCAGAGTGATGGGGAGTGGCATGTCATCGTATGTTGGTCTAAAAGGGAGGGAGGAAAAAAAAAAATCAGCCTATATAAATACTGTAAATATACTTAAGATTTTTCAAACAATAGCAGTGTATGGAGGGTTTAAGAGTAATTACCTAGAGTGCATCACTTCTAACAAACAGACTCAAATTACCAGCTCTGCTACATTAGCAGAGATTGTGAATTTTAAAAAATTATGGAGAGGGAAAGGGGAATGTTCCACAAAGCTAATTTGGCATTAGTCTGTTACCCTCTTCATGACGCCATCAATTAAGAATAGCCAAAAATAGATTACAATAATTTTATAAATACAGCAAAGGAAGAAAATGTAAAGGTATTTCCTTTGGTTGAAGTTGTAGACTATAAAGAGGTTACTTCACTGGTCATCCTATCATTAACTAAAATTGAGAAATTGAAAAAATTCTTTTGTAGAGAAATGGAACATAATAATACAATGCAGTATAAAACCGCTATTGAGTATAAATGCCCTTTTCCCTACAAAACATGGCTGCCTGATAGGAACCCTGCACATGTTGCCAAGGAATTCCATGTTTACTGTTTCTCTCAGACATACCACAGCTTCTGACTCACTTCTATAAGAAGCCAAGTTCTGATTGTTCAGCCCCACTCTGACAACAGATGTTAACATATTCTGTAACTGGTAGTTCTGTCTTTAGGACTCCCTCAAATACAAGGGTTTGCATCTTGTAGAATTAACACAACTGACAGATAACGACTATTTCTCTTATGCAATACAGGAACCCACAGGGCTTTGTTATGTAGCAGCTGGGCAAATCCAATTAAAATAATTTTAAAAATACGTAAATATAACCAAAGAAAAGAATATTATGTTTCATTTGAAAGTTATAACGAGACTTTGTGAGACACAAATGGATGCTTATTTTAATAAATGGCAGACATCAGCTAACAGAAATATCAGGAATAAATTTCCTTGCACAGGAATTTCCTTAGTTATATAACTCAGAGTACATACAGCTCAGGGTTATAGGACTGATTGAGCAAGAGAAACTTCATATAATGAAACAGTAAAAAGAGGATTATTTCTATTACTATATAAATGCAAAGTAATCAAATACATTAGATGATCAAACAATGCCTGCCAATTGAACTGCTGTGCCCTACTGCTGCATGAATTCTTGGCCACCTAAGCTCTGAAACAGGACCTAAGGGGAAGGTCAAAGGCAGTCAAAATAATTCTTTAACTTTCTCACTTAAAAGTTCTTTCATCTTTGTGTGAAACACCTGGCATCTGGACACTCCTGAAAGACTCAATATAGGACTAAATGGATTTTGATATAAATAAAATATAACAAATGTATAGGTTTATAGCTCAGTTAACAACCTACATCCACTTTTCAAAAATAACTTATAAGTAAATGTCTCTGGGGCAGAGGAAACAGAACTACAGTTTTATACAGCTAGGTACTTCTGATAGTTTTGCTACAAATTACCCCCAAAGGCAGAGGGAAGATTTACTCTCTTAAATGCTCAGTATTATTTCTTTATGTAAAAAATTTATACACCAAGAGTTTGGAGGAAGGAATGATTTGGAAGTTTGTGTGTATCTGGTTTTGGTTTGTTTTTTTTACTGGGGGAGGGACAGAACAATAACATCCTTTGAAATTCAGTATAAGGCAAAGTTCTGATGAATTTTTCCACATAACTACTAGGTATACTGGTTCCGCAAAACAAATCTAGACTCAGAAATATTTCCATAATCTTTAAAATGACACTCTAAAGATCCCTTGTGTGAATTCTGCTAAATAGTAAAAACAGTTATTTAAAGAACTGAGTGTAAACTGTATAATAATCCAAGAGTTTTAATGTGAAAGAAGAGAATCCAATTCTTACCTCAGATATCAGATAAGACCATGACTTTTTTTTCAGAGCAGGACCACAACATAAATCTATTCCTCGCTTTTCCATCTTTGCTTTTCTTCCTCCAAACTCTGTCTAGATTTGGGATTACTCTTCCCTCTTCTTCCTCCAACTTCATCTAGATTTTGTACATTATTTTTCTCATTCCATTCCTTCTTCCAACAACTTAGAGGAACATGGGTAGCTTGTTTTTCCTAGTTAGTAGGTTTCATTCACCAAAGGAATAACCTCGTATTAGTGACACCTCAAGAGAGGGCTTTTTTCATTTGGATGTTGCCGTAAAGCGAATCTTATATTTTCTCCATGGCAAAAAATTGTGGATGTTCTTAAGAGGTTGGGTTTGAATTTATTTATTGAAGATGGAAGGATTCATTTATTTATCTGTAGTGATGTGTATATGCCCTGAGCTAATTTGGCATAGACATGATATTAGCTTATTTTGTCACATCCCTGATAATATCAATATGATTGCATTCAGACAAAATAACCTTCTATTCTACCTCATTTTTCTAGAATGAGATTTAACTTATTTTCCTTCATCTACAGAGAAAAACCTAACACTTATCACTCTTAAAACATGCACACGATAAATAAAGAGAACACTTCTCAAAATCTGAGCATTAATTAATTGGCCAATTAATGTAATTCAAGTATTAACTGAACATGTGAACTGCAAGGATGATAAAATAAACATGTAAATATTTACCTGAAGTTATCCACAAACAACAAACAAAAATAATGAACTCTTTCAAAACATACCATAAAATACACTGCTAAACATATATATCAAGCCCAGAATAATAATATTTATAATAAAATATATAAAGTTCAAATTATAAGAATTTGTAAATGCATATGAGATTGTACAGTCTGCCATTACACCTGTTGACCCATATACTCCATCTTTTTTTAGGTCTTCACACTTAAATGCTATCAGTGGTGTTGTCTCAAATCCTAAAGTAGTGAAAAAGTATAAAAGTGAAGAGACAACACAAAAACAATACACTTGCATGATGTTTATCTAAATACACTTTTTTCTAAACTGTCTTCATTGAAAAAGTTTCACCTCAAATGGGCAAAATTTACTGGTCAGCAGTATAAAAGAAACAGGAATTTGTAATACATGCATTCGAACAACATACACTAAAAAAAAAAAAAAGCCATCTGTATTATACCTGTTGTCATGGTATCTGTGAGGATGATGCTGTAAAACATCTTGCAGGAAACGCTCCATCAAGCTACTGGTACCTGTACGATTCCTACAGTATGTGGTAAAATGTCTGTGCTGGGAGCTGAAAACATGCTGGTGAAAGATAAAACAGATGATTAGTCTAATACTACTGTAAACACACTGGCCTATTCCTAAAAATTACTTCCCGGGTTAAATCTTTGCTATGAAAATATTTAAATAAAAAGAAGTCTTCAGCCTTTTCTACTTTACAGCCTCGATTAATAGAGATTTTTAAGCACGCTTAGGGAATCTCAAATAATACTAAAATGTACTGAAATATCTTTCTGAGTTGGAACTTAAGTTAATGGTTCTGATAGGTGCTGACAAATCTCTTGTAAGTAGTACAAATGCTCTCAAATCTCACAGCTGCTCACAGGTCCTTTAGCTAGAACAAATACACTAAATGTTTCTATAAATGACTTAAAATATTCTTGAACATCATATGAGTAAACATTCTATAATTCACTCTAATTAACAAGGATTTTCATAAGTGTAGAAGATTAAATAGGCTTCTACTTTCTAATAAAAAAATCTAAAAGACAGGAGACTGATAGAGCTAAAGAACAGAAAACAGTTGATCAAATGTCTTCAGCCTTGATATCAAACATATTACTATAACCTTAATAATTTACAATACATACAGAACTCAAGACTAAAGACACAGAAATAAATGTAATGGATGCAATGCACAGCAGTGCACCACTTCAGAAAAGAAGACTGCAGCAGCTGTGCCACTTCACCGGCATCTTTTCAACAGGTAATAGACAAGAAGGGTAACTTTTTCTCAGTGCACACATTTTGCAATTCAAACTGCTTATTTTTCACTCAGTATTGGTTATTCAGTGTAGCAGCTGATATTTTAAAAGCTGATAAAGCCTTTTGGTACTCCTTGCTATCTGTTGCTGAATTGTGCAGAAGCCATCTCACCTGTTCCAGATTACTGTAGTGTACGTGGCAACAGTTGCAGTACCCTTGTCTATTTTGCACAGTGGATACTCCAGGCCAAGCATGTTCTTGCCCTCTTGCCTGTGAACTGAAAGAAGCGCATAATATTACCAAGACATGTTGGGTTATTTAATGCATGTCCTTAACATGGAAATTCTAAATATCTATCTTACCACAGCGATGGAACAAACTTGCAAGATAAATGTTTCCATTTCAGAATTGCAATGATAAGTAGGACCATGTATTTTAAGGTATTCCCAAGCAAATTTCACTGAAGAAACTTTTTCTTAAATGCAGAACAAAGGATAACAGCTTGAAGGCACAGTGGCTGAAATCTGAGAAGAACTGCCTCTACAGGAAAAGGCAGAGTCATCTTCTCATTCTTCTATTTTTTAGTATTTTGGAAAAAAAAAAAAACCAAAGACGCCTGACACTCACACATTAGTTTTGGGCACTACAGTGTACCTTCCCCATAATTTTTAATAGTGTTTGGTATAAGATACAGAGGACCTCCACCACACACTTATTGTGCCTCACTGTCATCTTTTATACAAGACAACAGATAAGGCTGAAAAGCAGATTCTTCCCAGTTTACCTTGGTAAGCATTAAGCTAGACACCAGTTAGATCATCACCTAACTTACCTGCTACTGCTGTCCTGTCGTAGAGAGCCTTCAGCACCATGTCTTTGGATTCCTACAGAAAAACAAAACCAAAACAACCAAAAAATAAAACAACCAAACACACATACAAAACAAAACACAAAAAGCAACAGAATATCAAAGAAATGGAGACAGTTTACCTGCAACTAGCTACTTCTCTTGCATTGCATTTGTCAAAATTACTATTCTAAAGGAAGGCAAAAAGTTTAGTAAGTTCAAGAATCCTTTTGTTCTCAAAGTCCATCCAAGAGCTTCACCCTTTCGTGGCTGAGTGTGAATTTTTCTACTGATTTGTCTGGGTTCAAGACTAGGCAATCTACATTGGTATTCCTACATCTGTGATCACTGAGATAAAATGTAACATGCCTTAAACAGCTTATAACAGGACAAGACAATTACAGCTACATGGAAAGTCTTTGGATGATTCAGGAGTCAGTCCTTCCATCCAAGTTCCATAATGGAATTTAGGAAATCAAATTATGCAATATAAGGTGATCTAATGCTTATACTGATAATTATTTTTTTTAAGAGTAATTAAGTCAAAAACATCTACTTTGAACTTCTTACCCTGTGCTGAAGAAGCAGAAGCTTCATCAGATCGTCTGATTCTGTCAAACATCTGTAAGCAAAAAACAAAAAAACCTAAGTTATAATAATAATTAATATTACATCTAACAATGTTAGCATTGCTAGCTTTTGCAATGTTAGCTTTGCTAGAAGGGCCTAACTTCTGATCTAATTAATGAAGTCAAATACTATACTTATGAACACAGCCCAGACTATGATAAGTTATTAAGCAATAACCTTGTCAAATTAATTTAATTACTTAATTTCCTAAGTTGCCTTTACAATTAAGAGATATATGCTAATAAAACCCATACGAGACCTACGCCACACAACATACTCATCCAGGCTGGAAAAGCAATCCTTATTGATCAAAAGCTCTGCAACTCAAGTTGGAAACTCACACTTTCTAATTCAAATATGACTGCAGCACCACGTGTTTACATGCTTTAGGGTATCCAAACCCAAAGGGCTTCCGAGTGTCGCACAGTCCCTTCACATTACAGAATGGAAGCACAGAATCTGCATACCTTAGACTCACCAGCCTTCTTCATCCACCAAAGCTGACTCCAGACTAGCAAACGATCAATGTTGAACAGCAGGCCATTTGCAGTGCAGGACAGGGCTTTTTTTCATCCCATCTGGCAACAAGGAAGTTAAAGAGCCTTTTAAAACAGAGTTAATAATGCATGTTTTCCATGCCCTTAGGCATGTAAATTTTTCTGTACCATTTTGGAAACATGTCAGTCGATAAAGTGGATAAATCTTTCTGAAGTTCTGCAGTACATTCTCCTGTTTAATATGGAAGTTGTTTTGACAGTCTTTCCTACCTAAATGTTAACCACTCCTTCTGGAATAACTTTGTTCCTTCTTTCTTCCTTGCAGCCCCCATGTCTTAAACATTATTGTCATTTTGGATGCTAGCACTCATGAAATAAAGTATACTGCTACAATAACAGAAAACAAATTCCTTAATACTAACCAAACTGCAATGAATCTATTTTGTAGATCATTCATGAACCTGCTCAGAAAAACAATGTCTTATTTTGCTTATGTTACATGAGCTAGTTAGATAGTGCATAATATCACAGCAGAATGGGTGTTCAAAGCATTTTATAATTTAATTATTATATATTCAATGAAGTATTATCATTAGCCATAACAGACAGGAAAACAGAAAGGCTACAATAACTTGCACAATCACTGTCACTAGCATCATCATATCCTGCTTCAAAACTCAGGGCTTAGCAAGTCCAAGATCTGCTCTTCGCTTACCATTTCTGTAATTATGTGATAACAAAGTTTCAAATCAACCACTTTTATTTTTTATCTTTTATAAACTGTCTTAACAAGACTCATTCCTTCCCTTCTCATTTTTTGTTCTCATATATGCAGAAAAGTTGCTCCTATATGAGGCTACATACCATCAAGCTTGACAGATGTGTGGTTTGTTACTTGTTTTCTTTAAACTTGTTTTGTTCTTTCCCAGACTACAAACCGCTCATTATAAAATACCTAGGTTGTTATAGCAGTTATGGTCAGAAGGAATATCACAGTAGCTCAACTGTAAACACACACGCCCCCAAAACCACAAAACAATCCACACAATCGAAACATCAGACTCATTCTCCTCCCCACAGTGTATCAATTTATGTAATAATATTTAAAAAACAACTAAGCAAGAAACCTCAGCTGTTCTTACAAGCCTTCTCATCAGGCAACTGAGAAAAGCCTTCTTGATAGAACAACTTATCTCAGCCGTCCTGTTTACGTGTCCTATACACAGCCAGGATCCAAAAGAAAGTAAAGGAAAAACACAGAAGACTATCTTTCATGAATGATGCTTTATGTAAAATAACTTGTTCTATGTGCTTGAGGTCATATTATCAATTTTTTAAGTCTTACTGTGCACACATAATCTTATGACAAAGCTAAAAGTGTGGCAGGAGCACAGGAACCACAGAGGAGGCACAGACAAGGCAGTCAGACAACAGTTCCACATTCAGAAGCAGCTCCACAAACACTCATCTTCATCCACTGCCCCAAAAGGTGATTAAAGCACCTGATATACAAATGTCTGATTTCATCTCAGAGATGCCAGGCAGTGGGAACTGCAGTGTGCTGGAGGATAACTAATACAGTTCGTTACTTCCTTATTTCAAGGACTGAGAGTTCATTCAAGTGCAAGTACAATGCACATTTAAACTGAGTTAGGAGAAAAGTAACTTTAAACAGGACAGGACTATGAAAATAACTATACTGAACTACTCCAGTCTGGATCTCCTTGTCATCTTTTTACAGTTCAAGGAGATTCAATGGACCAGATTTTCTCACCTGGAGGGAGGTTGTGCTAGGTAAAAGCTGTAAATGCCCAGCTGTTGCTTAGTAAGTGACAGAAAAACATCAGAGGAAGATCTTTCAGGGATATTCTCCTCTCGTACAAAGCTGCCAATAGAAGAAAACTTTTTCTCCTTATATCAGTTTTTTTTAAGAACACTAGCGTACAGGAAAAAGAAATAAGTCTGAACTCTATACACAGCTTGCTTACCATCAAGTTCAAACCACGAGATAGTAATGTGAAGGAAATCTGTTATGTAGATGCCTTATTTAATTTGCCAAAATCTGGACAGCCTAACTGTAATCCTTACTTTTTCAAAACAGAAACTGCAGCTATAAATTCACAAATGATTTTTCAGGTGTTCAGGCAAAGACTGCAAAATTCTACATTAGTTGAGATACTTTCCCCTATAAATATCATAAACTGCTGGATTAAAAAAGTAAATTATATTTGTTTGAAACTTAGCTTAACCATTTCTTCACCAAAAAAAAAAAAAATCCTGTAAATTTTAACAAATGTAGAAACAACTGGATAGACACAGAAGTGTTTGATTTGGTAAATTTCTATCCAGGTTACTTTATCAGCTGTTTCCAACATCAGTGTTTCATTCTGGTTTTATTGAATTACACTGCGTACAGCAGCCAAAGAATGAAATACCTCAGACAATCACATTTAAAAAGAAAAATCCACAAAAAGGCAACCGACAAGCATGAAATGTACACATTAAAAAAAAAACTCAAAACAAAACAAACAAACAAACAAACAAAAAAACCAAAAAAAAAGACAAAAGCAGTGGTTATGACAGTATCTGAGTATCAAAGGCATCAGATAAACCCTCCATACAGCGTCACTCTTGCAGTGCAACAGGTAGAATAAAAAGGGTAAAAAGCCAATCAAAACTGCTCCTCGAAAAACGCCTCACGAAAGCCTGAAACGCCCCTTCACCTACGAGCGACTGTGCTTGGCAGAGGGAGAACCAGGGGAAAACTCTCCCCTAAACAAAGTGACTTGCCGTCCCACAGCACCACCACAAACAGGGAGGCTGTAACTCATTCCAGGAACGGCCTTTGCCCCACGGCCGCACCGCACCGGCCCGGGGTCCCGGCCCCGCCGCGCCGTGCCCGCCTCGCCTCGCCCCGTGTCCCGCCCGGCCGCCGCCAGCGGGGCGGACCGCAGGGAGCCCGCGGGGCCGGGCGGTGCGGAGGGGCCGGGGCCGTGCCCGGGGCTGCCCCGCCCGCCGGGACCCGCCGAGCGCTGAGGGGACGCTGAGGCGGACGCGCGCGCGCAGCCCAACCGCTCCATGGGCTGCTCCCGGTCCCTCCCTTCCCGGCGCCGTCTCACCTCCATCATTCCCCGTTAGCTCTTCGGTGCCGCACTGGGGTCAAGGGACGCCATCCTGTGCTTCCTGCTCCGGGTCGGCGAGCCGCGCCCCGCGAAGGGAATGGCGGGAGCTGCGGGTTCCCGCGCAGCCGCTCCCTGCGTGGCGCGGGCTCCTCCCGCCCTGAGCGCCCGGCTCCGCCCGCCGGCGCTCCTGGTGCCGTGCCATGTGTTAGCGCGGCTCACTCCGAGCCCAGAAAGCCCCAGTTACTTCAGAACACTGCGGGGAGGCGTCTTTTTGTCAGCCCCAGCCGGGGTGATTCTGGTTGGGAAGTAACCTCTTAGCTAAGTTTCACTTCAACAATTGTAATAGTTGTTTTCTCCTTCAAAATGTATTATTCCATGTGCTTGAGAGCGGGCTGTAGGGTTTACCCTTTTATTTAATTTTCAGCCGTTAAAAGTAGCTTGTTTTTCACAGCGTGCCTTGTTTAGGTAGGCTTTACCAGAAAGTTACAGTCTGACTTCATCAGAGTTAATTATGCTAGATCAGCTTTTCTTATAAGTGGGCTTGAGAATGCGATGTTAGCTCGAGTTCTCTTATTTTCAGCTGTAGGTTTTTGAACGTTTATCTAATCTCCCGTGGGAAACCAGCTATTGCATATTTCTCTCGTTATGCTGAAGCAGCAGGAATTTTTAAGCAATCTGGGCAGACACAAAGTCAACACAACACCCTTATGTGTGAAGACAGGTGCAGATACAGGCTTGGATTGTGCAATGGGGGGAAAACAATCTTGAATGCGCCTTAATATCGAAAATTTAGGGAGGCTGTTCTGTGGTTATGAAACCATAGCTTAGAAATGTCCACCCACGCTCAAAAAGTAATTGAACACAAATCTCAAATGACAGATGAGCAGGAGAAGGCTTCTCTTTAGGAGGGCTGAATTTAGTTGCTGTTGAATTCTTTTAATATGTGCAGAGGTATGAATATATCTTTATTGCTCAAAAATTATTATTATAGGACTAAAGTTACCTGATGATATTTTGTTGCCTATTATAATACACAACTTGGAAAAACAGCAGCTTTCTGTGGAGAACAATGTGCATGCATGAAGGCTCAGGCACGTGCCCAAATTATTGCATGTCAGCACAGCTGCATTGTTTAAACATGTGGCAAACACATATAAAGACATGTTATCTGAGGTTAAAATAGTTTAATTTTATGGTGGTTTACAGTAGGCTTAGTGAGTTACTGTGGCTCGGCTAACCCTTCATAACTTGTTGAAACAAAGTAAGCTTGGTTACATAGCTGAGACACTGACGTTTCTTTTCCAGAATGGCTGATGTAGAACATAAGTCCTTCTTAGCAAAGACAAAGCACTATACAGTCTGTCTTATAATGCCATATAACTTCTCCTCAGAATGTTCCTGAATATTTTGCATTCTATTACATAGAATGTAATATTCTATGTCTTGGACTGCCACTCAAAGTTAGCAGAGCTTAGGCTTGTGTTGTCAAGTATTTCTTGGCTTTCAGCTCTTTCTGTATTTATGAACTTGAGGTTGCACCGTGATTCAAACTCAGTTAAGTATCTCTCAGTTGAGAGATACTCCTTTACCTCAGTCTCCTCTTCCCCCCTAGGAAACTACTCCTCACATACGTGCATGAACACTGAGTAGGGCTGACAAACTTCCTTTCCCCTTTAAAAATTATTCTCTCTCCTGGTCTGACTTTTCTCACACTATTTTCTCTTTGGTGGTATCTTGAGTTATCTATTGAGTTTCTATAAACTGCCCCATATACCTTTCACTGGTTTGCTTTCTACTTCCACTTTGATTTGTTATGTTTTTCACTTCCATTAGCCAAATATAAGTCAAAGGTGTACCTGTTAAAACATTAAGACAAATTGACAAATGCAGACAACAGCTATTTTCCTCAAGAGTCTCAAATTTCTTCCAGCATCTGGGTTCGGATTGGAAAGGGAGAATGTGATGAAAGAAAATCAAGGTTGGTAAAACTGGCTGGCAGGAAACTCTTGGCTAGATTTTTAGTTTGTTGCATATGTACTTTTTACATTGTGATGTTATAAGCCTAATTTATCCTTATATTGTTGTTTTGGTAAAGTTCTTCAGAGGGTTTGAGCTAAGTGTTGACTGACAGCAGTTGAGGTCTGGGGTTTGACCCATGCAGAGATTACTTTTGCCAAATGTTCACAAAAATGGGTTTTTAATTCTAGCCTGGATTCTAACAAGCACTGCAACTTTCAAGGCAGTCTGAGTACCTGTGTAGATTTTAGAGAACTTCACATTCTGAGTAACCTTGTGGAAGAAGGATCTTTTCAAATTTATAGTAGAATGAATGTTCCATAAAGCTTGGCACTATATTAAAACCTTTAATTACTGTGAAGTAATTGTTGTCCTTCTCTGAAAAATTTGATGCTGGCCGCTGCCTGATATCAGATACCGGACTAATGGAGCAATTATCTGATCCTCTATGGTATTTCAATTTTCCTCTTTAGTATAAATTCTGTGATTATTAAATAAAGGTTTTCAAAGTAAAGGAAAATAATTCCTCACCTGTGTAAAAGGCAAGGATAACCTCTTCTCAAAAGAAAGCTTCTTGTTTTCTTTTCTCTGCTTTACTCAAACTGTTTGCTGGGTTTGGCAGACTGCTATTACACGTTGATTTTTCTCTATTAAAAGCACTTTTCTCATTTTTAAATGAAAATCATGTTTTTTAAAAATAAGACTGGTCTTTTATTTACTTTGGTATGGCACTGGAATTAAATGCAAACCAAAAAGACAAACAATTCTTGAAATTCTTTTTTTTTAAAAGAGAGTCCTATCTTACAAGAAGACAATCTTATTATGGGCATTCTGCTGACATTCTCATTATTTAAACTGAACTTTTGTTTTGTACTCACAGTTTTTTTTAATTTTATTATAAGAGCTTTACCTGAGTTAATAATAAAAACATCCTCAATATGCGGGATATTAGCTTAACCCCCAAACTTAAAGGATAATCTAAAAGTTGTTCTTTCTATTTTTCATTCTCTTGCCAGAACTACCTTTTAAGATTAAAAATTGACAACTTAAATTTTCATTTTAGTTGCTTAATCATTTAATCAACCAAAAAGTTGTGTTATAATTGAAAGAAAGAAGTTTCAAATATCTTTTAGGACTGAGAGGGTTTTAAAAAGCACTTTTGAAATATGTGGACCAAGAATTTTCTCCAAAGAATATTATTTTACTTTCTTATAATTGGATCTTAAATTTTTAAAAGGTTACTGGAAGCACTTCACAGTGTGACTCTTTTTGCAATATCTTATTAGAAGCAAATCTTCACCTTGTCTATTTTTTACTCTTCTTTGGAGGTCATGCTGCTGTTTTCACAGGCTTGTGTTGTCAGAATTTGTGGGATTTACACATTTCTTTTTCACTAAAATTCCTCTCTGTATTATATTTCTGTATACATGTACTTTGGAGAATACAGAGATTTTTATTATTATAGTGCTGAGCAAAATTCTGGGATACGCTGATCCCAGAGTGGTTTATTATTCAGGGTGTTTTATTAATTGCTGTTAGAGCTGCTGTTGCTGTTCTTTTGCTGGCAGGTCATCCAGAAGGAACAGCTGATGAGACAACTCTAAGTGTGTCACTTTGAACAGTATGTCTACAAAATTTATCCAAATCCAGTCTTTTCAGAAAGCTTCTGCTTTATGGGCTACTAATGATCTTACATTAGATTTCAAATTCATACCTTGGCATTGCTGCAATTGTTTTGAATCTCTCCATTACCTTAAATCAACATGTTTTTAGGACTTTCTGTTCCAAAAGAAAATGTAAAGAAATTAAATCAGCAGCTGAGAAGTTTGAATGCTGAAAGAACACTCTGCTCTCAGAGAACGTCTTTCATCATAAAAGGCTGAATAGTTTACTGTTACATTCACAGTAATTTCTGTTTTTAGTTAATGATTGTTCAGTCCATTCATCTCTCTGAAATAACTCTCCCTATTTTTTTAGGGAAGTGACACAAAGAAAGGTCAGAAAGTGGGTTTGCAGTAGCCTGTAGGTCACTGCTCATGAATTGCAGGATATTCTTTGACCTTCGTGTTGTGCATGGAGTTTTTTATAGCTTCAAAAATAACAATTCCTTAGAATTTCTCTATTCTATTTTGCTATTGTTTCATACTTATTTTCAAAAATAACACTGATTTTAAATTTGTCTGGTTGATATAGTCAGTTTGGCCTCTGAGAATGGCAAAGTTTTCATGTAGAATTGTTCATTACCAAATTACTTGGAAATATACAATAATTTCTGATATGTACATACTGGAAGATACAGTGGAAAGTTGTAAAATTACTCCATTTTCCCCTGCTGAAGGGAACTCTGCAACCTGAGAGCCTTCAACTCTGAAGGGAACAGAAAGACCAAGAGGTTCTTGTGTTAACCACAGTCAGATGCCATGACTGAAATACACTCAGAACAGAATTAGTTTCATCTGCATGGCACAGTGTTTTCATTAGCGTGTTTTAAACCATCCTTCGTTTCATTATTATAGATAAGGTACAAAAGGAATGTGGATTTTTTAATCAGATGCTAATGTGAGAGTCTTGAAGTATTTTAAATAGGTATGATAGATGACTAATACTCCCTTCTAGCCTACCTCACATTCTTTTATAGTAGGAACTCCAAAGCATTTTTGCATAGGTAAGTATGAATTTCCATTAGTAAAGCAGAGAATAAGGTCTTTCTGATACAAAGAGATAATTTTCTCAAAGCTTCTTGGAGGGTTATTAATTCTGTTTTTCAAGAATTTTCACACTCCCAGAAGTTCTGAACCTGCTTTGACCCCTCGGAATATTCTGAATTAAATGTTCATATCCATCCATTTAAATGAAACTTTTTTGATTTTAAATAGACAGAGATCAATTTAAGATGATCCTGAATGTATAATACTTTTGCAGCTTCCTTGTTTGTAGTGTAATTTATAGGAGTTAGGGAGTTCCATCTATATATACTATTATGTTGAGTCACTGCGTGTTCTGCAGGCAGTTTAAGGTGGGGTCAAAATGTATTCCCAAGGC